TATAGTAAAAGGTTAGGGCTTTCTCGTGGTATCGCCAAAAAAATTTCAAAATGTTTTGGAGATTTTAAGGAGGATTTCCAAAAACCCGATTTCGTCTCTTTTTGCGATAGATAGATTTTCAGCAAAGCAAAGTGGAAAATAACTTTCAAATAGCGCATTCGACTCGCCTTTGCATTATCTATCGAATGGTAAAACAAAAACTTTCATAGCTTTTAAACTGAAGTCGAAAAATTCGAGATACCGGTGGGGATTTTTGACTATTTGCCTGTTTTGCGCTCGTTTTTTTTAATAATCTCGAATTCCCGAGGTCGCTTTCATATATTTTTCGTACCTATTCAACATGGGCTTTCAGATCGCACAAGATACGATTTGCCCCAACTCAATGCCTTGTAGGTATAAACGCCATAAAATTTGATTTTTCCAGTTTTGATGACTTTTTCAGCTTTCTAAAAATGATATGATACTACTTTAGGATTACAATTCCAAGGTAAATTTGCATACTGAATTCGATGCTCATGTCGAAAGTACTCAATATGTATTGTTAAATAAAGGAACAATTACGTTTTAATTGCTTTTGAGTGGCTAAGGAAGCGTTTCAAGCTGTATCACTCGAAGCACATTTCTGAAGATCTTTCCAAGACTTTATCGAGTTCTTAGTTCGTTTGAGTACTTAAATATTTCTACTGCACCTTGAGTACAGGAAGCTTTATTTGACATTAAAAGAATTTTGCAGAAGAATGAGAAACAAATAACTAAATCAACCAAAACTGGAAAACTAGAACTTTTTTTAGAAGTTACAGTGACTAGCTGAGTACTTTCGACATGAGCATCGAATTCAGTACTTTTTTAACTCGATTTACGCTAATCCCACGTATGAGTCATTCATTTAAAAAGGGTTCCACCATATGCGAACAAAGTCGATGTAAACGTGGTACGGACTCCATGGAAATATCCCCATCGCAACAACCAATGTCAAAATTAGCACCTCTGATTCTACAAGGTGCACAATTAGATCGTTACGACCTAAATAAAATCATTAAAACTCACTTAGCAACTGTTCGATTAACAGACATTCAATGCAATAAAAATGGAACGATAACGATGTTTGCAGCGGATATCAAAAGTTTCAACGACATTTTACTCGAATCTAGTAGATGTCTTCACGTGTTACTTATCAGGTTTAGTCTATCAAATTTCTTTTATTAGTATACGTTTTTCCTCAGATCAAATGCCGTTTTACGTCTTCAGCTTTGTTTTCCATAGGAGACCACTTCACAGATTTGGGAATATATCCGGTATCCTTAGTACATCGTCAGAGCTGAAGTTTTTTTGCTATTGCTGTCTTTGACCAGGGGGCGTATCTTTCTTTTATCATACAAACGAAAACTGAGACGCTCAAAATAATATTTCCTGACAGCGTTATCCCAGTACACGATTGTACGACTGCAACGTTTTTTTCTGCTAGACGGATTGTTTAACAGTATAAAGTTAAGATAAAGGTAGCGAAAAATATCTGTTGCACTCTGTAAGAATGCAGGGAAAAATAACCGTAACAGTCATTTGTCACTCTAATCTAAAGTTGTATGCGTCCAGTTCTCGTCCGCAATATCTTTAAACCCATTTCTAGCGAACGTATACCGGGAGTTTATATGTCCGTCCCGGACAAGAGACAAAAATCATCGTCCCCGCGTTGGAAGTAGCTTTACACACGAAAATGATGCATGCTTGGGCAAGCAAAGAGTAATTCTTGTTGTGATTGTCACGGTCGTTAACTGAAAAAAGATGAGATTCCATGATATCTGAGCGGAGGGCAACTCTTCGTTCTGGAGTAAAACTTGAAAAAAGCGGTGAGAGGCATCATTGGAGAATGCTGTCAGTATAATTGTACAGAGTCTTAGGATCGTCGTAATAGTGCGCGATCGAAAAACCGTGTTTTGCGCTATGCGAAACGCAAGTTAAGCATACACTTTGTGCCTGTTAATTCAACGTTCGGGCATTGGCACAAGAATATGCAGAAATGTCTGCTATAAGGATATATTAGCAATTTTATCGGGCACATTTATGCACCTCCTATGTTCGTAGATTTGAAGAAAGACGTGTTCACACAAACAAACAAAATTATTCATGGGACAGAGACGAGCTTGTGCCCGTACACTTTCCAGTCGCTTTTCTGACATTTTCTTGAGCGGTACCGAACCTTCTGACATTTCGCGCAAACATTCGGTGCATTTGGTGCACAACAGTATCGACACATATTGATTATTCATTCATCTGCCGGACGTGGTATAATTGAAGTAAAGTCATCCACCCGTATCGACGGATTACCATCCATCGCAATGCGATGGTAAGGGTTGAAAATTGTTACTTTACTTCCAAGAGTATAAACAACCATCCGAAGATATTTACCTTGCTCTTGAGGAAAATTGTAAATGTTGAGTTTTTCGGCATCATTATTCTCATCTTGAGCGATTAGATCCATGGAAGGTGTGCTAAAGTCAGCTGATTCGATGATCGTTAACTCGAGCAATCTGCCATTGTAAACCTGATCCCTAACTGGGTTCATATCACGCACGGAATTACAACCATGAAATCCATCCCAAAGGAAGAAAAAAAATGATGTAACTGAACTTCTTGAATATTCGTAAGTATTCTTTACGACAGTTCATTTAAACCACGTCTGTCTATTCTGGCCTCAATAGCACACACGGCTAATTTAAATGTATTTCAAATGCTTCCCAAAAAGCATGTAAATTATTTTTAGTATGTTCTTACTCTTTCTGCTATTCTTGTGATTGGTTCATAAGGATTATCGGTGTTCTTTCTCTTTTTCTCTCATTGTTTTGTGATTCATTTTTTTCTCTCGCACTACCGGTAACAGTGTCTCTTATGTAAGCCCAATTTTCTTTTTTATTGTTTACTGTTTCCTGACTATGTAGACTAACATCTTTAGTCAAACATCAAAATTTGATGGTTTTTTTCCCGGAAAGCGAGTCTCGCGATTTTTATATATTCGGAATCAGCGCAACGAGTTACGTTGTACGGCGCAAAGATCTCGTTGGGGTACTCGCGTTTTTTTAACCCGGATCAGCTACTGTAGGTTTTCACGGTATATTACAACTATATTCAACGGTACTCATCAAAGATTCCGCTTTTCTACTGTTTTCTTTCATATCATTTTTCTTTGCTTTGATGTTTTTTTCTTTCTATACACACTATACTATAGAGAGAGATGTAAATCAAGAATAGAGAAAAGACAGATTTTAGCGTTTTATCCAAAAGGAAGATTGCACTCGCTGTGAAATTAGTGTATATTCCCAGATTAAAAAGTTAACAAATGTGGAAGTACCCCTCTCTCGTTTTTCTGGCAGTTTGAAGTACACAGCTTGTATTGTATGCAACGCTACTTTTTAGAAAAAGATCTCTTTTAATTTTTAAGATGTAGAGCTGTCAATATCACAAGTTAAAGTTAGTAAAATCTATGGACTTGACTTTAATTTTAGAAATTGCACAGCTTTGTTGAACTTTCGTGTCTCTATAATCCACATACTATTTCAGTTAGATGGAACAGGACAATATGAATGAAACGCAAGTAAAATCATTGCATGATGTTTGTTTAAAACAGTGTCCTCTCTACTTTTTGCAGTAAATTTGAAGTATATCTGTATAGGACGCTATTTCTCCTTGAAGAACAAAATAAGGAAATGTTCGAAAGAAGCAGTGTTGGCTGTGAATTTATTCTATATTCTGGCACTTCGCGAGTTCATAGATGTCCATAGATTTTACTAACTTCAACTTGTGATATTGACAGCTCTACATCTTAAAAACTAAAAGAGACCTTTTTCTAAAAAGTAGCGTTGCATCCAGTACAAGCTATGTACTTCAAACTGTCAGAAAAACGAGAGAGGGGTACTTCCAAATTTGTTAACTTTTTAATCTGGAAATACACACTAATTTCATAGTGAGTGCAATCTTCCTTTTGGATAAAACGATAAAATTTGTTCTTTTCTCCATTTCTCGCCGTACAATGTAACTTGTTGCGCTGATTCCGAATATGTAAAAATCTCGAGACTCGCTTCTCTAGAAAAAAACCATCAAATTTTGATATGATACATTCAATTCAATTCATTTTCAAGAAAAATCTCATTATTCTGTAGAGAATTTTTTTTCTAAACTCGATTGTGCAGTTTATTTAATTATCTTTTGCGACAGATAATAGGAAAAAGAGATTTAGTGAGGGAATGTAATTTTATTTGTGAACTAGTTTAGAATTCTTGTTTCTGCGGCAAAACTTCAAAACTAATTTTGGAGTCAAATATGTGGTTTCGTAGAGAATTAAAGTGCACATCGGTTAGTATAAAACGAAATCGTACTAGAAAGGACAAAATAGGTACCAAAGGGGCTTATTATCTATGAGCCATCCGTTACAAAGTAGTCCTGAACACGATTCTCTCTCACCCAATAGACTAGCTAATCTGACAAACACAATTTGTTTATTCCAATTAACTGCACTAAACCATTTCATAAGAAGTAAATAAATGTTGAAAGTCTTGTTGACTTTCGTACCAAATGACGATAGTAACGACTAATAAGTTTCATTGAATAAACGTCGTGTGCATCGGCATAGCTAGACATTTGATTGATTGATTGATTTTTATTTGGTAACAACAAGACTTACAGTTTGAATATGTGAACACAGATAAACATACAATAAAAACAGAAACCTTTAATTTACATCAAAAACTGGTTACCGAGAAAGCAGAAAAAGTGCGAGGGACCTATAAACCTTGCTACCGCTAAAAGACAAAATATAAAAATCTTCAATCCAATAATATTGTGCGAAGTTATTTTGTACTGTTCATATTATTTAAGGAAAAGAAAAACGGGAGCAGTTTCCTGCACAGTCAGAAAACTATGGCGCGTCAATTTATACATTGTATTTATATATTTGATCTATCTAATTTTTTGTTTGTGTTGAATTATAATAGTATTTTTCTTCAAAAATGTTATGCACAGTCTGTATCAGTATCTTGGTTTTTTTTCACAATATACATTTTTCATTTTCCGCATACGATAATCCCTATAGCACTGTACCATTCAGTGGTCCTGTGTCAGCAAATCCCTTAACATGGAATCGTCGTCAAATGTACGATATAGCTGAAATGCCACCTGTGATCCTTGGCGAAACAATGCAACATAAAGAAAGTTTCAAGGTGTGCGATGAATTAATGGGTGATCAGCGTGATCAAAATGAATTTTATGCTGATATCTATGATACTGTTGTACAACTGACAGCACAACGATCTATTGACGCTTATAAACTAGGAGATTATATTGCTAAAAAAGGGGATGGTGGTGGAATCATTCGATTACTCTATGTTGCTATACCACGACGAGATTATGAATTAGATTTTAAATTTATAACAGCTGAAAACGATGTCCTAAGATGTTATAGAAAAAGTTACATGGATCGATCTACATTTGCGTAAGAAATGTTGACTTTTTTTGTCCAAATGTGATGATAACTTGTTTCGTTCAGTCATTCGATTTTAGCCAATTATCAGCCAGTGTTAACAGCTGGTACCGTTACGTTTGAATATCAAAGTGCTGCACAAATAGTAAAAATGACAAAAATTGACAATGAAAGCGGTCATTATATGCCACATACGGGTCTCGAAGCATTGGCTGCTGTTATTGTCTATTTAGGACGAATATTAATTAGTTCTGATTATCGTCTAAATTATAGAGGATGTCGTTTAGTCTATTATGAGAGTCGATTATCTACAGCATCTCATGTTCAGCCTACAGCAACTACAGATTTTACATCAGCAAATGTCGAGGAACCACACAATAGTCCTCCTAGCATGCAGTTAACTGTTCCGACATCTACATGTAAAACGTATACATTTGACATTTTTTTACAAAGAATCAATGTTCAGTTTGCTCGTATTTATGATCAGCTAGTGAGAATAGAACGTTTACGTTAAACAAAAACAAGGAATTTGAGCAATCAAACTTTAATAATTTGCTAACGTATCTTGAGTGTTAATAAATATGTATTCTTCGAGGAAAAATCTAGCTTTTATCGAAAATGTAAAAGTAGAAAGAAAGATTTTGAGATAATTCTGAAATGTTTCCAAAAGTCATACCCTCAAATCAGATTTGTTAATAAAGAGTTCCTATTGTCATAGTTCACCAAGTAAAACAAAAGTCGTGTGGCAGTTACTTGCGGAGAAAAATAAAACAATTCAATCAATTGACTTATCTTCAACTCAACTAACAGGCAACTGCATTGATAAAATTGAGTTTTCATCGATCAAACTCGTACTTGGTCTCAAACGATTTCTCTTTCAACTCTCCACAAATCCATGTCAACAAAAAGCGAAAGTTTTTGAAGACTGAATGAGAGCAAACTCTCGGTAGTCCAGTATCGTCGAAACTTGGCTAATATCTCATCTTGCAGAGAACTGAATGGGTTAACCAATCGAGTGGTTTGAAAACTTGTGAAATGAACTTCGACGTCGACAGGATTTCTAGAAAACCCGTTTTTCAGAAATTTTTCGTCATTAAAATATTAGAGTCCAATGTGCTCGTTCATCTGAAACCAAGCTCACTGTTCTACGATAGAGACCGCGATTAGGAGACGTTTGACAAGTTAAGCCTAATCCACTAGAAAATGATGAAGAATATGATTTTCTGCTCTGAGGGTAAAGTGCCAGTAACTTCTTTTGTAACTCACTTGCAGACCTGTGGTTCTCGCCATTCGATTCAGTTCGTCGAGCTCTATAGTGTGAGGTAGGTCTTGTCACTGACGCCAACACTTTTGTATAACGTGGTAGGTTTAACATGAATTTAGTCTTATTGTAATTTTTCTCAACTTGAGATCAATTTTCTCAGTGATAAAGCATCAACCAAAAATAAATATTTCAGGATTTTGAATTACTCTCTATATACGTCAGCATTGGGTATGGGGGCAGTCTGTAGAATTTGCAGTGAGCCAGCGGAAGGAAGCAAAAGTTGGTGAAAACTGAAAACTAGTGGTCAGTGTTTCCTCTACTATTCAGCCTAGAAAACAGCTGAAGTCTCGTGATTTTCACCATTAGAGAGATAAGAGACTGGGAATTTGAAATCATACATTGGTGTTAAGTTTTCATTTTGTCCTCATAGCGATATTTGAATGAGAAAAACACCAACAACTGTGCTTTTGTGTAGAAGATCCTATCGGACTCTAAAATAAAATCTTGTTTGATCTTATATGATCCTATGAAATCATATAGAATCTTATAGGAATCATGTCTGCCATCTGAAAGCAAGAAATGGCGTACGATTCCTATTATAGGATCCTGAACGTCAATCTCACACGCCGCCGCGGATATAGTAATCGGCTAGCACCTCTATACTCGATAACTTGACGAACTCTATCGAACTATACCGAAGAAAACGAAAAATAATTTTGCTCAAGCCTTGAATTTCGGGCACCCTACATGTGCGCTTAACATAACACCTTATCTTGTTTAAATAAGTTATGCTCGTCTTATTGAAGAAGAAAATAAAGCACATTTGTCTATTGGTAAAAAGAGCTCGTGTTCTTCCAGCCGAAAAAGACGAATATAGAGCACATGTCTGTGCGTATATCACAGCTTCTTGGGAAATTATTAAATATTTTATATTTCTCAACAGAGGAAAGTGCGCTGAATTTTACAATGCGAAAATCAATTAATCGTCTCTAAAACTGAGTGAGTAACCACTGATACACTTGATGGAAAAAATTTGGTTGATGTCTCTGAAGAACTGAATTATAAGATCAAAACGTCAAGTCGAACTAAAGAATTTCGCACAGACATAACATGGATTCCAGAACATGTTTTGAAAACTTTGTAACAAAACAACTATGCATGAGCGGAAACAAGTAATTGGGGCTATTTAGCGGCAAAGTCGCATTAAGTGTGAGCGCACAAAAGGATAACATATTCAGAATCAGCAGAAATATCTGTATTTAGCTTATCTGGATCTAAAAAAATTGATCAATTTCTTACATATGCTTCAGTCTAGTATAGATAAATAGTCAGTCATTAAGAAATAGTGCTGGATGTCACTAGTATTCGAATTGATATTCTGTTAAGGAGCAAAAGTAGATTCATATGAAATCAAATATGAACTCTTTCTTCGTTTACAACTTTGTATGTGCAAATTTTTAATTCATTTATATTTGTGTAAGTGTTCGATATGTATTTATTGACATAATATTTCCGACAGAACATGACAAAATTAAGGCATGGAATAACGAACATTAAGTTGATATCATCGAACTATTAGAACGAATGAATTACTATCAAAAATGTGATAGTCAGAAGAATTGCACAACAAATGAAAGATAGTTGCTTGAAGTTTATTCATTGTAGAAACAGGCTCTGTTTCAGCATATCGTGTTATAATGAATAAGGGCACTTTTAGCATGATGACAGGGATCATATTTACACCTGGTTCGCTTTTGATCATCCAAGATTGCATAGGTCCAGTATAAAATGCAATAATTATGTTTGGAGCAAAAGTTGCTTCGATTTATTTAACGATGATGAAAGAGTGTTGCTGATCGATAACATATGAATAATGATTAGATTGAGACTACATGGCCGAATGCACTATATATATATATAAAAACGTTCAACACGGCGATTCATTAGATAGGCAATGATATCTTTTTTCATATAGGACAGTACGTATGTACGAACATCAGACATACTCTTTCTCTCTTTCTTTCTATGAGTATTATTGCTCAGACAGGTAAGGAGCTAGACAAAATGTGTTGGTATGTATTGTAGCTATTGAAAAAAAGAACGTTAATACTTGACCAATAAACGACAATCATTGCATTGAACATGTTGTTTATTATTCTAGATTTATTGGAATATAATTATATCTAACTTCTCGTTTAGTAGTTCTCATGCTAATTCCTGCGCGCATACTGAATGAGTTAAACAATTCCCTTTTTTCGCATCATGTTGCCAAAGAAAAAACATTTCCGTTTACAAGGTATGTCTAGCGTTTGTTGATACTAGAAAAACACAAAAAAATGAATCTGTGACCACTAGTACTATGCGTAAATGCTTTTAACTAGTAGGCCATAGATGAAAGCATTCTCTTTTTATTTATGCTGATATAAAATATCTTTTACAAATTTTCTAATCCGAAATACTTTAGTCTTTGACTTCAGATAGAGCTCCCCGAACCTTATTAATAAAATTATATGATCTCATATAAAATTTTATGCTCAACCCAAATTTCACCCTTTTAGTCACCGAAAATATACATTTTCAGAGATATCCTCACTTTATTCGATTTTTCAAAAAACTGTAAAATTTGATTTTTGAATAAGCTAAGAACTTTGAAACGTTAATTTCAATTGCATTTGACAGCTCACACGAAAATGCACGAGATAAATTACTTTTCACGCCTTTGTACACTTTCTTAACCTCATACCGTCTCAAAAGCTGATTTTGACTAGAAAAGAATTGCAAGGCACCAAAAGTCTCAGTCACGCGGACGCAAGTAGCATCAGCCCCAATAATATTTCAAAACCTTAGAATTAAGATTCAAGAAAATAACAATATTTTTACTATTTTCAGTGACTTTAGCTATGTTTTGCATTTTTCTTCGAGAACATGATGTCATTGGCCTAGCTATATTCACAATCTGTAATTACAGTAAAATTTATTACAGCAAAAAGCTAGAAAACGAGAAAACCCTACTGAAACTATTCTATCTCTTTTCACGACCTGAGCTTTGAAAAAACTATTGTTTTTGATTTCTAGAAGTCATGCTTCGAGTTCCAAAGTTATCAGCTGAACCTGTGAACACTAAAAAGTTTCTAGAAGCAAGTAGTACCTTTTCAAAGAGATTTTCTGTGCCCGTTGGGATTCTGATTTCACCATGTTTTACTCGGGCTTTTCGTCGAGAACATGATGTAATCAAGCTTGCAATAACTAACAGCTATAGTCCCTAGATATCTCACAGATGTCTTGTGAATCCGACAGTAAAGCAAAATTTCTATAAAATGTGAAGATCAAGGTGAATTGAAGATGTGATTGAACTACTCGTGATTCACTCATTCGTCAACCAAAACGACTATTTAATGTGATGGATCATGACTCGAAGTAAAACGTCGCTGCAGAGTCTTAAGCAAAAAATGTTCTCCTAGTTAAGCAATGAATGAATTTCCAGAGAGCGAAAGATTGTTTGATATTCAGAGTTGTTAAAGAAAAAATATTGACTTGGTAACAAGAAATATGGGAATACTCTCGTATATATACTCATTCTGCAAATTACTAGTATTTTCGGGTGATCCTACTTTGAAGGATTTAAACATGAAGTGTTAGTATAGAAATGGCCTGCGTATGTACGCGTTTCGAATACTCTTTTTTAACTCACTAAAGAAGATAATAACAGAAAAGCGAATGATAAGGAATGTGAGGAAATAGAAAGGTATAAAATACACTTAGATTAAGTCCTGGACTAATCGATATAAATAGATTTAAATATTTACTTTGAGCCTAAATGAACTGACATGATATGTCTAAGAGTTCACAGAAACTTAAGAAAAATGGAAATACCAAACCATCGAAGAAAAGGAAATGTTTAATCAAAAGGAAAGCATAACGTTGAGAAAGTAAAAAAATACCTTGTAAATAAAGGAAGCGGTTTTTCCTTGCATGTCCCGTTTAGAATGAGAGTGAAAAAATACATATATTCAATCACACATGTTTTAAAAACATTGTGCAATAATAGATAATTTAATTCTTCACAGAGTTATTAGTTTAATTTGTTTTATCCAGGAAAAGCGAGAATCATTAAAGGTTCGCGGCCTAGAATAACAATGACTCCAACCAAACACAAACAAACTAACAAAAGAAAAGATATAATAACGTGACTTTTGTTTACCGCCTTACAAAGAATTGTCTGTATGTGCGTATAGCACAAGAAAATGACTTGTTGGTAAATTATGGACTTATTAATCAGAAAAGAGTGACACGTTAATGCAACCCAACTGTCATTCTTTACACAGTCACGGTGGGTATCACCCATTTCCATTGATAGTAGTGAAAAACACATTTGTGGTTCACAAGACTTGCAGAACATAGCTAATCGAAAATTGTGGATATTCATACAACAGCTAATTCAAATCGCATTCTATTATTTATTTAGTTCGAAGTTTCCCGTACTTGTCATTATTAAGAAAAATATGTAATGAAAGAAATATTTAACATGACAACACAGTTGGATATATAAACTGTCACATATGCACTTACAGTATTTGTATGTACTGAATAAGATTATGAAACAGCTAGTCAAGTTCATTTGATCGTTTGCAGGTTGTGACAATGTAGTGATGAATATGACGATCAGAGATAGTTTCACGTTGAGTAACAGCTGGCTCAAATGTTCACATGACCGAGGTAACATTTTTCAAAATTAAGTAAAATCTTCCTTTACTCTAGAAAATTGTTTTTTTCATCTTTTTATATATGGTTCGGTAGAGCGCGATGAGCTGAGTAAGAAACAGTGTTTTTAAACTTTTAAAAAGATTCTTTATAGTCGAAAAATTTGAAAAACTTGAAGGAGTCCGTTTTTCTCGAACACACGTGATTTTTGAAAATATGTAAAATTTTCTGCTTTGCTCTTTTTTTCAGCTTATGAGAATATATTTTTTGATTCAGCGTTAAAAACTGAGTATAAAAACGATGTCAAATGGATTTTCATTAAAAAGGCTTGTTAATGATGGGCACCCTCATCCCTCACCCCGGCATGGTTATGAGTCGTTCTTGTAAATCTATCTATTTTTTCTGGTTAAGTGATGACGTCAAATATTTTATCCCGTTCGATTCATCATACCACCAATGGAAAACCTATTTTGCACCTGATATCAAAAGTATTTCTCGAAAAGTATTCTTCGAGCATTTTCGAAGGTTTATGTCAGCTCAATAGTTGTTCATTGCGTTCGTCTCTACCGGATGACATATTTTGTTTAAACTAACGATAAAACGTGTGGAACAGAGCATTGTCAACTCTACTGATTTGACCAGTAGTCTACTGACTTTTTTCTACTAAAATCAGTTGCTGACTTTTATAAGAACTGAATAAGATTTGAGTTCTCTTTCTCGAACTTTTTGAGTATTCTTGCTTGTCACAACGTTGATCTTTCTTGATACTGATTTTTGCACATATTAAGGTATGATAGTTTTGGTGAAGAAAATTCCCACCTCAAGTTGACTAACGAGGGAAGGCCCTCAACTGTCAAATCGCTTTTGACGTAAAACTTAGTGGACAACGGGTAACCGAGCATGCTGATTCCGAATATGACGATGGTTTCGCCAATGCGTCTTTGGAGACCCCGGTTTTTGAAAAAGTGGGTTTTCGCAGTGAAAAACTTTTTTGGTCTAAAATATTTTTTGATCGGTACAAATGAAAGCGCATGCTCTAAAACCTACGCAAAACTATTTTTTAAGGTTTTGGAACGGTTTTGAACAGTTTTTAAAGGGTCAAAACTTAATACTACAGCCGAAAAACAGCTTTTTATTGCGCTAAGCTTTAATAAATAAAACATGTGAGAACTAGGTAATCGAATGCGCTGATTCCGAAGATTACATTGATCTTTTGTTATCAGATTCTACAGCCACCGACTTTTTAAGCAACAGTTTTCGACGACAGTTATCGATGGATGTCATCAAAGATTTTCTATCACCCGACACAATATCGACTCTTTTCTTGATCCAAGCTGTAAATGGCAAAAATATTTCAGGTTACACGAATTATCCCAATGAGAATGAAGTGTTGTTGGGACCGGGCACTCATTTACGTGTAGAGAGCATTGCATTGGATCATGCTGGTGCTCTACATGTTGTTCATTTGGCAGAAGTGGATGACGATAGTGATACACAATTGCCATCAGCTATGGCTGCCGTGTACGTAACGCCCAAATCATCAAATGAAGGCGCATTCGGTGAGTATAAAATTCATTTTCTGATGAGATAACAAGTTCGGGATGATTTAAAACTTGAATTACCTATAGAATAAATGAGCGGGATCAATTAAATAGACCTAGATTTTTTTGACAAAATGTTTTATGGGGCCGTGATGCGATTTTTTTCTTAGAGTGTCCAGATAGTTCTCTGGTGCAAAAATTTTCTCAATTTTATTTGAACATAAAACAGTATGTGATGCACTGATTGAATTATTATTGAAGGAAAAGCGCACCCGAAAGGAGCATTCACTTCGACTTCAGCAGCGCAAGCGATAAAGAAAATCATTCTCTGGTATGTCTACTCTTGAGAGAATTTGATGAAATGATGATGTCCATATAAAGAAAAAACTTAAAAATTGCTATTGAAATCAAAAATGTATTAATGTTTAATTAATCATAAAATCGATTTTTTGATGTAGATTAAATAAAACTATTTATTTCAAACTGAGTTTAATCGGTAAAAGGCAATTGAATAATATCAATTGAGAAGAACAGAAATTAATTTATAAAATCATCAGTTCATTTTGAGGTATCTTTCTTCATTTATATATCGGTGATACCAATTTTATTGGGTTTACCCCCGATTCGTCTTATATAGTAAGCGAAGAAGGACAACAACATATAAAAAATAAAATGTTTCTAAATAAAATGTTTCTATGATGGCATGATAAGAAGAGAAGAAAGTACGATATATAATAGAGAGTGATCCAAAGTGAACGTCATACAATATATAACAGAAAGCGCTATACGATCACTAAACAGTATCACCAGTGGATGTTGGTTACAATTAATCGTGACTGAAGCTTTTGGATTAAACATAAAGGTGATTGACAATTAGGGATGAATCGGGGAGGGACGAGTTGAGAATCAATTAAGAACGAATCATCTATGCAAGGGACGAATTGAGAAAAAATTTTCAGGGACGAATCGAGTAAGGGACGAATATGGGACGAATCGCGAGGTATTTTATTGATATTAATCATAGTTCATTGATGTAAATCGATCTTTTTGTTGTTATCGATTTCAATAGGCGTATGATCATTTTCTGGGAAATATAGCAATTCGAATCCGAAATTTTTATTTGTAATAATTTTTCTCGATTCTTCGCTTTCCTGAGTCACAGATTTATCACCAGATCAAAGTTTTAAGCAGAGACAACTTATCCGATTATAATTGAAGCTAATATCAATGAAAGCTAAGAAGAGAAGCTAAGAATGAAGCTAAGAAGAGTTTGTTAGCACAGCCTTTTCCTGAAGCTCAAATATGAAACTCCAATTGCCTCTTTCTATGGACTATAAGTTTTAGTAAAAATCTAAGCTGGACCTTTTACATTAAAGCAAAACTTAATAGTTCAACTGTAATTGGAGCCTAGAAGACTAAGTCTGAAGGTTTGTTTGATACGTCTCTGATCATTAAAACCAGCATGCTTGGCATTTATGCACAAATATGGCTAATCAACATCGAGAATGACCAGCAAAGGCAACTTCATATCAGAGATTCTAACAGGACAGGACAGGACAGGACACAGGACAATCTCTGAAGTCTGTGACAGGACAGGACAGGACGCAGGGGGGAAGTGTCCTGTCCTGCAGGGAGGATCCAGGAAATTACGAAGGGGGCGGGGTTTAGATAAAAATGAAGGAAGTTTTTTCTGATTCTTTGCCGTTATTGAGAACAAATCAAGGAATTTTCTTCAATTACGGTAAACTCATATATTTTCCAACATCTGTCTTTTTTATCGGAAAAAGAAGTACAGCATTTTTTTCCTTTCTGATTGGACGCTGTGTAATATACAGAGTATGATATGGGTTCAAGAGATAACATTCTAAAGTTGCATTCACTTATACATAACCACTTGTAATCAGGCACATTTCGGCCAATGATTAAACATACATGGTATGTCTCTGGTTACCTCTCAGAGAATCCTGGCAGATTTGAAAATGTACAAGGAGTTTGCTCTTGTTCAACGATAACTAGTATTCAATAGCTTCTACATTCACTTATGCAAAACCAACCTGGTTAATGCAGCATTAGTACAATTTGCCTGCCTTGAATAACTCGCCGATACATCATTCCATATTCTTTTCTTGCAGATAACAACTCCATTGACTTACACCCCCAACAAAATGAACATCTGTTCATCAATGGAACACTACTAAACCACAAACCACACCAACTCAGACTAAACAAATTTTATGGTAAAGAGAATCAGCAGTGGCACATGCTTTACAAAGCATCACAACATGGGTATAGAACCAAAGACTTTCACCAACGATGCGACGGAAAAGGTCCAACGATCACAATCATTCAATCCCAAAACGGCCGTTATCTATTCGGTGCATACAACGGCATCATTTTCTTCACATGTTTCTTTGGCTACAATCTCTTATTACTTCTCGCTGTTCCTTATTTTAACACGAAAGTGGCGTCACTTGGCGTCGTCAGAAATTGTACGAACGTTCACTTACTCTTTTGACTAAGTCATGTAGAATGTCATCGGTTGTTTCACATTTTCTCTATGGTACAATCTATTGCTATTTTTCGCTGTTGCTTATTTTAGCATGNACAACGTCATGGTTTGTTTCAGATTTTCTCTTGGGTACGAGCGCTTGTTAGTTCTCGCTGTTTCTTATTTTAGCAAGAAAGTGGCGTCACTTTTCGTCGTCAGAAATAAACGAACTTTGATTTGATGGGACCAGTTCATTTACAGCGTCATCGTTATTGTCGCTAATCTTGGCATCTTGGCTAACAATAATAATCTATTGTTATTGTCGCTAATTCTTATTCTGGCAAGAAAGTGTCGTCACTTTTCGTCGTCAGGAATAAACGAACTTTTATTTGCTTTGGCTATTTCATTTACAACGTCATCGTTTTTTGCGCAATTTCTCTTTGGCTACGATCTATTGTTATTTCTCGCTGTTTGTTTTTTTACCAGGAAAGTGCCGGTACTTTTCATCGTCAGGAATAAACGAACTTCCGGTTAATGGTGTTCTTTTGGGGGTGGGGGGGAGAGGTGCGCAACGGTCTTATAGGTTTTCCGCGAGGGTATGTTGATACGACCGGTGTTGGATTTGAGACGTTCGTTGCATCTGCTCGCTTTGTCGCTGGTGAGATAGAAATTTATTTGTTGGGTTGAGGTGTGGTGTAAAGTGTTGTTTTGGAGGCGAACTAATGGAGCTCTATATAAACTTCATAAATTTTGTTTAAATGTGTGTTGTGTAGTGTGTGGCTCTATTGACGTTTGATTTGAAGGTTCTTTGCTTGATGTGCTTATGTTGTGAATTTTTTTGGATGTTTGCTGTTTTCAGTCTTTCCAAGTAAATTGCCAGTTTTTGTGGTGTAGGTGCCGGATTGAAGGAAAGAAACAGAATAATTTATACAACAAATTTCACGGCTGATACGAGGTAGGAAAGGAAACGGATCACGGTGCGCGCCTGAATTGTGTTGTTCGGTAATGATGTTTAGGCAAGTGAGGGATCTGAAAGGAAGATTGTTTTTGTCAAAAACAGATTTCGATCTTGATAGGTTGCTCTAGTCTAAAGGGACGTCGGGGAAGTCGGTTAGTTTTGAAAGTAGAAGTGGTTAGTAATACGAGTGAAACGGAGAAATAAAGCGCTTAGAGCTTAAACTGACTTTTATTATCTTCTACCAGTGCGTTGAATTCATCTGTAAGTCTAAGCTGACTGTTTCTAAAATTTCTTATATGGTACACTTTATTCAACATAGTCTTCGCCAGTAGACGATGTTTCGACAGTGTCAAGTATATGTGCACAATTTTTTCAGCTATGTGGCATCGCTTGAACCAGCTCCCTTAGTCGTCTTGTCACCTAAATCCATTCTTCAGCTTCTCGATGCTACAGTCAAATATTTGATAACGATGATCCATTTGTTTTACAACATGTGAAACTAGAAAAGAAACAAGACTTGTTTCATAATGGTAAACTTGGATATGTAAATAAAATATTTCCAGTCGAGATTGATGCTCCCGACTGGCGTAGCAATGTTAATTTTCCTATGAAAAGTAAAATAACTTTGACGGATGAGTTTCTTTAAAAGTTCGGTTTTTGGCCTAGGATCGCGATAAATTAAAACCTTTGTAACTAACTTATTTCTCATTCAAATCACTTAAAATTTTCCGATATATGTAAATATAATATGTTTCATCTAACTTAGCTTGTAAGGGTTAGTTTCAAACGCCTTATGGAGGATGAATCTCTAGAAATCCTATGGAGTACCTGTTCACGTATAGCTGCAAACTTCGGGGTTTCAAACAGAGCTGTCATCAGGTGAGTGCAGAAATGATCTTTGCTGAAAACTTGAAGTGATTTGAATTAGAAATAAGTTAGTTACAAATTATCATTGATGGAATGAAGGTATTCTGAAAGATTGGGCTGTGTGTTTGAATTTTATTATTAATATGAGAGTTTCTTTGGTGCCTGAAGTTCACGACTGGAGGGATAAGCTCTGATAGGTATGCTGGGCTCAGACCATTCACAATTTTATAAAATAACACAAGTTTATGTTTTCTGAAAAGATGCGTGAGATCGATCCAGCCTAATATGGAGAATACCTTTTCTTTCAGTCGCAAAGCCCCACTAACAGTTAATCCCGCTTGGTATTGTAAATCAAATAATTGTTTTAACTCTGATGAATACGTATTGGTGTAGATACAGTCTGCATAACTTATGGTCTGTACGAATAAGGATTTGTAGATTTGATTCAAAACCGACGTTTTAAAATGGTGTTTATGACATTTCATCATGTTAACAATTATGGTACACCTCTTTTCTATAAATTTAATATGCTCTTTCCAGGACAAATCTCTACTAAGCATAATTCCTAAATGTTTATGTATATTCACTAAGCTTAATTGTGTTGTACCTATAAATAGCGGAGCAATAGTGCCACGAGGGCGTCGAGTAAAATGCATGCTCTCACATTTGTCTACATTGAGTGCTCATTGCCACTTAATTGACCACGAAAGAACTTTAGATAGATTGGGATTCATGTCTGATACACAAGAACTCCATGTTTCTTCCTGAAGAAATCGGTGTTTTTCGGATTTTGGGCTGAGTATAATCTAATATAGAGGAAAGTGTGGGCTACAAAATGAGACCACTACCAACACTCCACGATCTTTCTCCAAAACTTATGCATTTTTGAAGTTTTTCCTTCAAAGCCAAAAAAGCTCAATTAATTAATAGTTTCATAAACCCATTTTCTCCTTTTTTCGTAAGGTGTACAGAAACCAGACTTTGCATGGAATTTATTTTCGATCTTTCTATGCACCATTCGATAGAGGAATTCAAGCGCAGTACGAATATGTATTCTTCGATTTTTTGGTACCATTTTCGGGTCGAAAACATCAAAATATCGGAAACGGTCAAAAATAGGGATGTTAATTTAGTTTTATTGTTCATTTATAATAACGGATAAATATAAATGAATCATTTATATTTAAAAAATAAATATAAATGAATCATTTACTCTTATGAAATAAATATAAATATATGAAAAAAAAATTTATCTTTATTTTATAAACGTAAATGATTCATTTACATTTATTTTCCAAAGTAACACTAACTTAACACCCCTAGTCAAAAATTCTCCAAAACGGTAGTTTTTGAAAAACCTCTGACGGTTTTTGCATTTTGATTTTACGAGCCGAATCAAAGTTGTTTGGATTCAGCATCAAAAACTGCATCGGAAACTAGTATTTGAACATTTTTAGACCCGAACGCCTCTCTGCGAAAAAATTCCAAAGTACATGTGGTGCAAAACCAGACCCGATTTTGTAAATCTAACACTGATTTTTCTAGAGGTCCTAGAAAAAACGCCATTTGGTTCGTCTTTCGAAGGCGAATAAAAGTACACGTGCAGTTTTTCGAAAGTCCAAAATCAAGTGAGGCTCGAGCTTCACGGGTCTCAGTGGCTCCACCGCCACTGAGCTTGATAGAAACTTGCGATTTTCGCCAGTCAAACTTTAAAGCAACTTTTCAAGGATAAGAAGTTTCGGAAGTTATTTTTCAACAACTGATTTTCTAAGAAATCTCTGAGAAACCATTTCATTATCCAATAATTGAAGAATGCAATATATATAGTTTTTCCAACGGTATACAAATAGCCCAAAGCGTTCTCTAGAAAATGGGATCTAAGCCACCTCTTCATTTTTCGTGGTTTAGGCGTAGTATCGAACTGCGAGACCCAGGATCGATATTTCTGTAAGTGGGTCAATCCCGAGAAGGAATGGAAACATAGGTTATCGATCACCCTGAATCTCGTGGTAATGTTTTTCAAAAAGTCCCCCAAAACCTAGTGAAAATCTATACTATGTGAAATAATCCAGTTTTGCGCATTTTCATGTAAATCAAGAAAATTCCCAATTCGATCATAATCGATCCAGACTACATCAGGATACCAAGATAAACTCTATTTTATCTATGCTGTATAGTTTTCTACTTAACAGTAGTAAAAAATATTCTTTTCCTTTGAAAGATTTCTATAAAACCTTTTCAGAAACCAAAAGTATTTTCTGTGAATTTTTAAAATTTTTGTTGAGCTACATGATATAGCTTAGATAAGACCGGGTTTGTTTATCTCGATATTCTTACGTAGTCTGGATCGCTTTTGACTGAATTGGAAATTTTCCAGATTTACAGAAAAGCGGGTAGTAATCTAAACGTTAAATCTGAAAGGGATAATAGACTGACCTGCCGGAAATTATCAGAAATTGGCTCTTAAGCAGACCGTTCATTTTTACGTTGCACATTTTCTAGTGTAAAATATTATCCAACAGGTTCTTAGTTTGTTGACAAAGGTAAAAGTATGAGATATCTTATCTATATGAAATAAATAATGGGCATATTGGATGCTAAAACAGTGTGAACTAACAGTAGAGAAGTATTTCATCTATCACTGATGCATCAACTAAAATATTGTTTGGGTTTGTTCACTATTTTCGTTCTTACAATAAATCGTTGTAATGGAGCGAAAAAGATATCTGTTCAAGGCCAATATATGGTGGATACATTTAATCGACCGAGAATGTTTCATGGTGTCAATTTTGTTGAGAAAAGCGCACCATGGTCAGTTAGTCTGATATTAGCTAATCCTTCAAACAACAATAGTTTAACTATTTTACAGGTATCCAGCGCTATTGTTAAATGAAACATTCGTCAAAAATTTGTCCGATTGGGGATTTAATTTTGCTCGAGTGGGGTATGTATGTATGGTATATATGATCTACTTGACAGACTTTTATATTAAAGGATGATGTGGTCAGGCGTGGAGCCATCGCCTAATCAGTATGATGAGAACTATTTGAATATCATGAAGCAAATTGTCGATTTATTACAAAAGTACGGGATTTATGTGTTGTTGGACATGCACCAAGATATATTATTGTCCCGTCTTGGAACATACGATGGTATTCCGCCATGGCTCTATGATCGTTTTCCACCTCCAAAACATTCTTGTACGTTTTAGAGACAATAAAAAAATTATTTCGAACATAATTTCTGTTAACATCTAGATCCCTGGCCATTGAAACCAAACTCAACGACCGGTAGTAATTGGTCACTTGGTTATATAACCGAGGCCACAAATCATGCTTTTCAGTGTTTATATGACAATGTGGGCGGTGCCGTTGATTCATTTAAAAATTTCTGGCATCTCGTTGCATCTACCTTTGGATCGTATGAAACAGTTATCGGCTACGAGTTTATCAATGAGCCATGGGCAGGGAATATATTTCAGAACCCAGCATTACTCTTACCGGGTGAAGCAGGCACATTGAATCTTCAGCCATTGTACGATAAATTAAGCACAGCAATACGATCAGTCGATAATGATACGTTAATATTTTACGAACCAGTTACGTGGGGTGTTCGATTAAATGGAAAATATTTCGGAACCGGATTCTCACACGTTCCAGGTGGTGCGCAATATCAAAATCGGAGTGTACTATCATGTAAGTAGTTTATACCAGAAATTAGAAAAGCTGCCTTTGTTAGAAAAACATGCAAAAGTGGAGAAGGTAAATTATATTAAAGGTTTTGTCTACTCAAATTTCACAATCATGCAGAAAGGCGACCTGGACTAAAACACTTTGTAAGACTTTTTATTTGGAAATTTTTTCTCCTTAATTCAAATCTATGATGATGTGAGATTCATCAGACTCCTTAAAGATGTCGAAAATGTTTTTCAAAGTATTAAAACAGTGTCCCTTCTGAAAAGTGTGATTTTTCGATAAAAAATTTTAATAGAAAGTTCGGAGAAGTTTGCTAGAAGCCTAAGACATATACAAGACACTGTCGTCAACACATCTCGAAAGCGATGTCGACTTTTAAAGTATTACGTACTGGCAGGGATTCTTCGTCCAATCAGATGCTGAAGAGCTACAATTAGTTTTAAATCGAATACGAAGGCAATGGATGACGTCCTACTTCCTGATTTTTTCAAACCATCTCAACATCATACTAGAAAGACCATAGTTTGAAACCTTTAAACACCAGGTTTCATTATCTTTTTTTAGTGCTTCGTTATGAAACAAGCTTCAACTTTTTGATGTAGCGCGCCTATTGCGTAAAAATTTTTCACTATAGAAATAATAATAAAGTCTAGATTCTAAATGCTCTTTCGAATGTTCATGTCGCCCAAGATGACTGTCTTTTACAATTGTTTCAGATCATTACTACTGCATTATTCTGAGGTTGGTACCTGTACCTGGAAACGAGTCTATACCTGTGTTTGATCGTACTCTGTGCGACGATATTGAAGGCCCTGCTATGTTTCGCAGCGTCCAAGTCGACCTAAATCTACTGGGCGGCTCGTCATTCTTGACCGAATTTGGTGGATGCGACAACACTCCGACATGTGTGGAACAGGTCAGATATGGCCTAGAAAAAACAGATCAATTTTGGCAATCATGGGCATACTGGGGTCATTTAATTCTTAATTATACGACAGGTACCATTGATTTACCCAATATCAAAATATTTTCGCGTCCGTACGCGCGTGCTGTAGCTGGTATACCGCTTTCCCTTCAATTCAATGCTCAACGTCTAACCTTTTATTTCGCCTACACAATTGATCCATCTATTGGTCAACCGACAGAAATTTATGTTCCACCACTGTCTTACTCAAACGGTTTTAATGTGACTGTAAGCAACGGTTTGATATGGTCAGTTGATTCAAAAAATAAAAATATCATTCTCGTTTATCATTCGACTAAATTATTTTCCAGACACGAAAACATCATTGGCATTGTTGAAATAAATCCAGCTTAATTGAATATCATATTTTTTCTTATCTTTTACTTTGTACGTCTTACACGTGTCCGATGGTATGATTATATTTTTACATACTTTTCTTCATTCCTTCTGTACGGACAATATATAAAAATTGCTGCTTAATATGTGTTCAGCTCGTTTCAGTTTTTAGTTCTATCTAAGAGCTTTCTTGTCGTTGCTATCGAGCATAAACGAAAGAAAGTATTCACGATGCGTTATTTAATCCATAACCTCTCTTCTATATTAATTTATGTTCTTTTATATTTTTTTCAAAAATGTGATCAATGAACTAATTTGTTAACCAGATACTGGAAATATCCAATACTGTTAGTTTTTTGGATGGAAGCTCACTAAAAGAATTCAGTTTTGCAAAGCTTTTATGCTTTTAAAAACTCAAAAAATAGGATACATGTGTTTTGTTAAATGGATGAGACCCATAGAGATGATAGACTGCCTACTGTGGAACTTTAGAAAAAAATCATACTTGAGCATGTTGGCCAGCAGCAGTTTCCTCGTGAGCTAAAACTGCACTGTGTACAAAATTTTGTGGAAAATATGTCTATGTCAACAACCTAAACTTCAGGAAAATAGAATATCTTAGAAACGAAAGAAAATTTTTATAAAAGTGAATCGTACAACCGAATGGCATATTGCATAATTTTGTTCCGTTTGTGTTGATATCAGGAAAATTTAAATTGTGCGTTAGAGTGCAGCTGATTATTGCTGATTAGAGTTGATTAATAATCAAGAGCAGTCATAGATGACATGAGTGCTTTTTTCGTATCAGATATTATATATAAATCAATTCTCTATAAAGCTAAATTAGAATCAACTGAATATAACATTTATGACAAACATCAGAGAAATTTGTAAAACTGCCTCTCAAGCTAAAAATTTTAATTAATTTTGAACTTGATTAGCTAATAGCTCTATGCATACTTGACCAAACTTTCTTCTATTGTATTCACATACCACCGTCACATAAGAGATTATATGTTAATCATTTACGTAATTTAGAAGATAGATATAAACAAAATAGTATAAATTTAAATGACTTTTTGTGTAAGGTATCAAAAACAATAGGTGTTAAAAAGTTTTGATCTTTTTATCAAATGTTTTTCAAGATTATATTGTATGCGTGATCATCTTAAAATAAAAACTTTATAATTGCAACTAGAATTCTATGTTTTACAAAGGATAAAAAAAGTGTCGACGAAACAAGAGTCAATCGACAAGCTTAATTGATTAAAAACATAGTGTCGACGAATCGAGCAAGAAATTAGTCGACGAAACAAGAATAATTTAATTACTGTCGACGAAAGAAGAATGGATCAACCAGAGTTAACCAAATAACGAAGTTGAAAGCTGTTAATATACAATTTAATGGTTGAGCGTTCTCGTCTCTGGCAGCAGCTGCAATGTCCTAAGCCACGCCACATTCATATTCAACTCTTACAAGAAAATCAAAAAGTTTCTTTTGCGTTATTACACGTCCCCACCCGCCTGATTGTTTTAATATTACAGTATTCTTGTATATTTGAATTTAAAATTAAGCTGAAGTCAGCACCAAACACAATGTCGTAGTTACTCCCAAAAATCGTTTACTTGCTGGTTTGAATTCTTCGGTACTAATATGACTTGTTTGGTATCTACAGACGGCTCCAGTTATTCTAACAAGTGATCTTCTACTTCTCTTATAGGGCTTGTGCACGTAACGATCTTGTATGTAACGATGATTCTTGGTCAAAAAATGTATTTTGAGACAAGCACATGGAAAGACAGCCTGAAGTGTTTAGTTTCAGAATCTTTATTACTTTTGCTCCTAGAGCTGGTTTTTCGCGGCTTTCGAGCAAGTTTTCCAAGAGCCCCGAAAGGCCGGATCCTCAAATAGTAGTTTTTTCCTGGATACTTATGCAATTAAATTTTTTCAGAACATGTAGATTTGTAGAACAAACTTTTCGGTTTAAAATTAAAAATCGCACAACTCTGTATGACCTTGCGTTGGATCTCTAGGAAAGGAATAAAGGCTTAATTAGAAATCGGCGCCGTCAGCGCATGTAATTAGATGTCTAATTCAGAATAAAACACACCCTAACTGTCCAGCTTGAAGTATAGTAAGAAATCTTGGGAAAAACTTCAGAGTCCTTTTTGGACTTTGATCTCTGGAAAACTCCTCAACAATAAGTCGTAGAGACAAAAAGCATTTTCATTTCCGTAACTCATTGTGCCTAACTTTTATCGAAAGTATCATTGAAATCAGATGTACGTTGTCGGAGATAATTTCTGAGGAGCGGAGAGGGGCTCTTAAATATGTGGCGATTTAAATTCTACTGGTAGAAATTGAATTCAAGTTCGACTGAAAATTAATTTCTGGTGCCACATACTATTACGAACTTAACAAATTCATAAAATCCAAAAGCAATCGATGGTATTTAATGAGTTACTGAATAGTAGTTCATCGAAAAGTTTTGTAATTATGTGATAGACTAAATTAAAAAAAAATTCATTGCGCTGCAACTTTTTCAACCATTGCTGTGCTGATTCGGAACAGAAAGAACAGAAAGAAATATTTCAGCAGCTAAAGATACTTACGCACATTTACCGCAAAATATTCCATGTTTACTAAACTTGCGTATGTTTCCCGTTGTTTTTCATAATTCAGTAATGCTTGTTTATCGTTGTTGTTTATCTACTAACGAGGGAACCGCCCGAGATGATACCCTCCGTTTTTCTTCGTTCATACCTCAGTTGATAGAGAGCATCGAGCTGACAAAAAGCCTAAATGGGTTTCTGCGGAGGGCTCTTGAAGACCCGGTTTTCTGGAAAACCAGTTTTTCAGAAACTCTAAAACTAACTGAAACCTCTTCTTAATGAGTTGTAATTGTAGCCCGGAAATGTCTGATTAAAATGAGACGTCTCCCAGCTCTACACCACCTTTCTTTGGAAAGTTATAGAATTTACAAGAAAAGCCCTAAATTTAGTTTATCTTGCTTCTGTAGCTTTGAGCTGACAATGAACATTCAGGGCTTTTCTTGTAAATTCTATAACTTTCCAAAGAAAGGTGGTGTAGAGCTGGGAGACGTCTCATTTT